GACTTTGAATTTTTTTGAATGTCGATGAGCAAATGACAGCTGCTGAGAGACATGTAAAAGGAGTTGCTGAATTAAACCAGTCTAAACACTTTAGGGATGTCTTAACTCTAAAATGGAATTCAGAAAATGTATTGTGTTGGGGGAGAGGTTATGCTTTTGTTTTTACAGGAAATGAAAGGTTGTGGATTTCTTCAAAATTAATAGAGACAAGATTTGATTGGAGGAGATCTCCTGAAAATCTTGGTTACAGACATAAAGAAATAAACCTAGAAAAACTACAAGATGGGTGATATATATGCTGATCCCTTGACATGAGACTAGCTCTGAGACTGAATAAGACATGATAAATCTTGTTGGTTACAGGGTCATCATGACTTATTATTACATGCCATCCTTTTATATGGCATGGACAGAGGTTTGGTTATACAGTCCAAACAAACTTATAAAGTTGACAGATGTCTTTTACCTGCTCAAACATAAAACAACAAAAAAAAAAAATCGTCTTTGGCTGGCTTATGTACAATGCACAGTCCATACTTGTGTTAATGCAGGTATGTGTGTTACCTTTGAAAATTTGTGTGTTTTCAGAGCAAGGGGACCAGACATCAATGAAAATGGGGTGACTTAGGTGATCCAGCCTTTCAGAATGCCTCTGTTGCAGTTTCCTCAGAGTTCTGCATTCAGAACAACACCCAACCTCACAGACTATTCTATCCAGGACTTCAGACACTATCCTTGCACTTTCCCAGCACACAGAGACTGGACAAGAAATTTTATAACTAGTTTTCTTAGGACTTGACCATTGTCTCAATTTTCTCGGAATCCCTTGGGGATGACATCACCCCCAGACAACAGGAAGCTAAAGAACACAACGCCCACATTCCCATGAGGTGGGGTGGGTGGTTTTGGATCATTCAGTGGGTTATGGATGTTTGTCATCATTTAGTGGGTATATAGGAATATAGGATAAAAATACAACTGTTCATCTCAAATGTTTTACATTGGTATTTTTTTGTATATTGATACAGAATTAAGGTTATTTTGTTATACCATATACATGTTTCTACTCTTTATTAACAAGAGTCCCAAAGAGATCTGTCTGGCTTGGTTTATCTCCTCATTTTTTATCCAACTCCTCTAAATAATATATGCAGACATCTATGTGCAATGTCTTTCATCTCATTAAGAAAATTTACATTCACTTATGAGGGAAAAGCAAAAGAGAATAACAGCTGTAGAGCCAAGAAAATTAATGGGATAGGAAAAATCAAATTTATATTAAATGGAAAACTCTGAGTATTTTGATTGATTTGTTACCATATACCAGTAGTTCTCAACCTTCCTAATGTTGTGACCCTTTAATACAGTTCCTCATATTGTGGTGACCCCCAACCATAAAATTATTTTTGTTACTACTTCATAACTGTACCTTTTCTACTGTTATGAATCGTAATGTAAATATCTATGTTCTCCAATGGTCTTAGGTGACTCCTGTGAAAGGGTCATTTGATCCCTAAAGAGGTTGTGACCCATAGGTTGAGATCTGTTCCTATAAATGCTTGCTGATACTTTTATGAAGAAAGGCATTGGTTGGTTCACTAAAGTCATGACATGAACCATACATTATATGTCATGAACCCATGGATCTCAAGCCAGGAGCTCAGGCTTATTGTAATTATAAATTATAATTTTTTTCATTTAGATTTTTTGTTTATTGTTATAAGAATGCAATGAGATATCTATACACTTAAAAAAATCACAAATATTTATTTATTTATTTATTTATCTATCTATTTAATTTATCTGTGGAATTGTATGGGCCATGGGCACATATATGGAGTTCAGAGGATAACTTATGGGAGTTGGTTCTTTCCTTCCACCATGTAGATCACAGGGATTGAACTCAGTTTTTCAGTGTTGGTGGAAAATCTATTTACCTGCTGAGACATTTTGTTAGCCCCACTATGAATTCTTATTGTGAAATAGGACATAGTTGACCTAAGTATTTCTCATCATTCTCCCAGGTACCATATAATTTTGTACCTACCTGAGTCTTAATAGAGATTTTTATCAATCTTGCTATCCAGAGAAAAAATTTTGGTGACTGCAACAGGCATGCGGATGAGACTGGGGAGTCCCATAGATGTGGTAATAAAAATGTCAACTCTAACATCAGCTGTGTGTTCTGGCAAGAGAAAGCCATCTTCTATTAAGCTACAAAAATGGTCTCTAGCCTCTGTACTTTGATATCCCTGATGGGACAGACCTTTTCTTCTTTCTAGGCATCAGTTGATGTTTCAAATGAAAACAGAGATGCAATTGTACTTTTAGATCTATGTAATTTATGTGTGCTGCTTTAGTTATTAAACTTTTCTAATGGTTTTGAGGTTTAAAATTGATGTTCTTCCCTCTCATACTTCTCCCTTATAGAGCTTTGGTGATTTCCGCCGACATGATAGTTTCTTAGCAGCACTACTTAATAATCTACTGGATGTTTTATTTTATTTTGCTATAGCAACAGTTTTCTCCCTTGTGGGCCATGTGCATTTTACCCTTTATGATTAAACATAGAAATTAAGATATGAATTCTGGGTGGGGATGCAAGTCTACTAACCATGGGACTGTGGCTGCCTGGCTATTTAAAACTGTATTCACCTCTTCGATAATGAAGAAAAAGGGAAAGGTGGTGTCAGATTAAAGCTACTGATTATGGTCCTTATAGATTTAATTTATAAGTCTCTCACTCTAAAATATGTTAACTGACAGAGTCTTGAGAAAATGAATACTATTCATTTTACAGAATAAGCAATGTAATAATATGTTGTTGCAAGAAACCTTGACGATTTTGATGTTTAAAGATGAAAAACATTCACTTGTTCCTTTTTTTCATCAGTTCATAATCCTAAAGATTTGGTTATATAGTTAAACTTGGCAACATCCACCAAAAGTTGTCCTCTTAGAAATAGAGGAAAGCTATGACATGCTATGTCATTTCTAGTGATAAATTATCAAGTTTTACCCTTTGACAAGGAGATTTTCAGAGACTTGTGGCTTCCAAAAATTGGAACCAGGTGACACTGATATTTGTGCCAATTATTTTCTTTTAGGATTTTTTTTTATTATCAGCTTTAATCGTTCAAAAATGTCCCTCGAGGATTTACTCTTGACATGCACACATTCATAATGAAGTGAATTTGACAAGCAGACTTTCCCCAGACTTTCGGATTACAGTTATGTGTTTGTATTCCTGAATCAGAATCTGCTGGAGCTCATTCCAAATATTGGATATGCATCTTGGCCCAAGTTTACTGGGTCTGAGTGACTGACTAGGAGATAGAGAGCACCCCAGAGTGAAACACAGTACCCTGTGTCTCCAACCAACTCATAAGTGATTCTCTGACACTGTCTAAGTGCATTTCTCAAATCATCTCACAGAGTCTCTTAATGTTAGCAGAAACGTATCAAATATCACACAAGACTACAATTTCAAATATGTCTACATCTTTGGAGAGGATGCCATTGGAAGGGGTAGAGTCTAGAACCACTTTTCATGTTTTCTTTTCCGACTTTTTAATTTATAGCTTCAGCTGTGATGTGGGGGAAACTCAGCTATGCTGGGATTCCAGCACCTTCTAGGGTGATGAGTCATTGCCTACAGCTGAGGAGACAAGAGGCTTATAGACACCTGCAGAGGCTCATTCACCTTGACATCCTGTTTCCTGTGAGCCCTTGGGTCGAGTTTACAGCCATGGTGAAAATCTCTGGCGTGTTAGGAGGACTCCTTGTGTTTTTTACATCAACTCTTGGCTTTCTTGACAGTAAGGAAAAGATGCAATTCTAGAGGTCACAATTAAAGAAAGGGAGGTGTCATTTCTCTAAGCATGCTAATGATTTTGGGGTTATTTAAAAGTAATCTGCTGATCCATTACTAGTAATTAATGACTGTAACCAGGTATGTTTTTATGTATCTGTCTTCTCCACTGAATTTTCTCCTAAAAGTAGCCACCACACTGGTCTCAGGATGCTGCCTTTTTCTTGAAAAATATTTTCAGATTAAACCTTTCTCTGTATATTTGCTTATTGATTTGCAATATGTGAAAAATACTTGTCCCGAGAGGAAGTTGCCTAGGACTGCATGTTTTGACCATGTGTTATAAAGTTTAGACTGACAGTATTCAGCTACGTTCATTTCTAAGTGATTCCTTTAGGCTGAGCCTCTCAATAGATTTACATCATTTTAATTATGCTCTGCTACGCAAAAGCTATGGGATAAGTTTATCTTTTGTAAATATAGGAAAACAATGAATTGAATTACACAGGAGGTAAAAAATTGAGATTAAACAATTTGTTTTGAGTCTTAGAAAGTTATCAAAGTAGGCATAGTATTGTTTAGAACTCTTTAGTTTCATCTAGCTAATTGGGTCATATTAATAAGCTCAAATATTTTAACTATGAGTTAAGTTTTAAATGTAAATACATGATTCATTCTCTTAGTTCTGTGTTCATCTATTCTTTTTTTTTTCAGGTCTAGATCTTTTTTTTTTTTAAACAGGGTTTCTCTGTGTAGCTTTTCGCCTTTCCTGGAACTCACTTGGTAGTCCAGGCTGGCCTCGAACTCACAGAGATCCACCTGCCTCTGCCTCCTGAGTGCTGGGATTAAAGGCGTGCACCACCACCGCCCGGCTAGATCTTTTTTTATGTTGGAAATATTTTGAAAATGAACTTATGAGATCTGTTGGTCAAAATTTGAACAACATCTAGGAAAGCAGGGAATCTTTGCCTTAGAGACTCTCAGGAAATAGCTCTTGAATCTTGCATGTTCTCATGAAGGAATTGAATCATAGAGATGAACTGGCCAAACTAGAGGAAGCCGCAACTAGACATACCCATTCTCATTCTGTATGTGGGAATTCAGCTCAATCAAGACACAGGAAGTTTCTTGAACTATCATTTTGGGACAGAAATATAATACAATGTTTTCCCTTATTTTCTTTTAACAGTAAATGTATCCTGTGACATATACGGGGTCAAGGTGGAAGTGATATATTTTTATGATGTGGGAGACCTGCTACTTCAAGCCCGTGATCTCTCCCTAGGATGTGGCTGTCCAGTCTCCTACATTGATCACTACACTGATCATGAAATATTTGTGTTTGTTTATCTTCTAAAGTCCTGTGGCATCAGGGTTCATGTAAGAGAATTCACTTAAACAACATAGTCTTTGACAAACCAATGGCTAAAAATCAAGCTATTGAAATTTAATTGTCAATTGATTTAGCTTTTAGTTACACATTTTATTTTCGTGTGTATATGTCTTCCCTGCCCGTGTGTGTGTGTGTGTGTGTGTGTGTGTGTGTGTGTGTGTGTGTGTGTGTGTGTGTGTAAGACAGAGAACATTTTGCTGGAGTTGATTCTCCATCTATACTGTGAGTCCCAGGGAGCTAACTCAGGTCATTAAGCTTCGTAGCAAGCACCTTTGCCTGCTGAGCCATCTCTCCAGCCCTGCCAGTTGATTTTAAACATCATGTAGTGTTAACTAATCTATTAAGCAAGGTTACTTCTGTGGTAGAAGAGAAAATATAGAATTATAAAAGCTATGCTATTCTTTATACATTCTGCTATTATGTACTTTTTGTCTTGGTTATAGTGATTTTTATAAATCTTTGTGATTAAAAATCTTACCAGGAATGAATTTCTTTCTCTAACAGCCTTTAAACTCTGAATTCTTTTTCTCATTATTGACTTCAGATTTCAATGGATTCAGGGCATGTAAGGGTATACTACTGCTGTAGGAATATGAGAGGGCCCAATCTTTTCTGAAATCAGAAAACTGGTTTTCTTTATATGAACTTGTTCACTGTGATTGGTAGTGGTAGCTTGCTATTCCTTCAGAACCACATTTGCCCCAGTCTTAGTACAAACAATTTGGGTGAGCTGGTTTCCACCTCGCTTCAGGTTGTTTGTTGACTTCTGTAACTTTAACACCTAAAGCAATAACCAAATTTTGGCAAATACTCAGCACACAGGTTGCTCAAATGCAATATGCAAATGTTGTTTAGTAAGATGTGAAAATACAAGTACTTAGGAAATAAGAGGCCATGTCAATATTCATTTCCGAAAATTGTGGTAAGTCAAGTGCCAACCTAGTTTTTCTTTCTGGGATATGTTAAGAAGAGATATTCTCTCTCTCTCTGTCTCTCTGTCTCTCTGTCTCTCTCTTTCTCTCTCTCTTTCATTGAGGTCATAATGCAGTAATATTTAAGCAGGTAGATATTAAAGTTTCCATTTGCCACCCAGGAAAGAGAGAAACTAGAGAAGAGGGAATTCAAAGGCACACAGGGAAACAGGAATTTAATAATGTGACTTGTTTTGTTTTTATTTTTTGAGACAGGGTCTCAGTATGTCATCCTGACTTGTCTGGAACTCTTTTATGTAGACCAGGCTGGTCTAAAACTTACTGTGATCTGCTTGCCTTTGCCTCCTGAGTGCTGGCACTAAAGGTGTGCACCACCATACTTGACTTGATAATGTGATTTAGATTCTGTTATCCATATATTCCTTGAATCACATTATCCCAGGGACTGTATATGGGAACTCCCAATTGGAATGAATTTCTTTCATGTATACTGCATGTTGTCCTAAAAACATATGGCCAATGCTAAAATTTTTTACTATGAACATGTTTTTTGAGGGTTATCTGTGGGCATTAGCTGAAGTTTAGAACATCACATTGTATAGGTGTTAAACATTATGCTTGAAGATGAACTACATGCAAATATTGATCTTAGGTGAATTCATGGAAGAGATAAAAACAATTCTAGAATAGAAGTACTCTCAACAATAACATATGATTAGATGCATGCTAATTGGCTTTCATTTGCAATGAAACTTAGTCATCTGATAGTAATTAGTATAGGAATGACTTCAGTTGTTTTTCTTTGGAAATATTTGAGTTGACTGCTCTTATATTGAATGCATGATGTTCTCTATAATACAATTAATGAAAACAGAGTCTATGAATTTGAAAAAGAGCAAGGAGGAGTTAGAGGGAGGGAAGAGAAGGGGGAACGATGTAATCATATTATAAGCTCAAAATGTAAAAGAAATAATAAATTAATAAACATTGCCATTAAAAATAGTAGCTTATATCAGTGTCTGGCAGCTATGACCAATAGATCACGTTCAGAGAGCTTCTGAGGTTTCCATGTTGTTTTCTTGGAACAAAGTGGCACTCATTTAGCTATTGTGTATGGCAACTTTCACACCCACAGTGTGAGAGTGGATGAAGTGATAGAGACAATATGGCCCATCTTACAAAACTTTTGCCAATGCATGGTTCATATTATCTTCAGTTTATAAACAGGGGACATACAACTTATGAAGTTGTCAAGTGTTTAGCAAAAATTTGCACCAGAGTAATTTAGATCCTATTCAATCACACCCTGATTCTTAATTATGATTAGCAAAAATTCTTAAGTATGATCAGCTATGCGAATTCAGTTCCAAACACATCAAAGACCCTGATACCATGTCTGATAGGGACAGACATTTTATCAGTCAATTCTTTGTTCCATTTTATATCTTGCATTTGTATCTACTTTATATTATATCTTCTACTTTATATTATAAAGCTGACTGGCTCATTTTCATATACTACATTTTAAAAATGGAAACAATTTGCAAGAGATTATTTAAGATAACCAAATTTATATTCTTTATATATTTAGGAATTGTCAAAAGGCATACTCATTGAAAGTTCAATCACATATGCTTCAGTGCAGCTGAGTGTCACTCTTCAAATACCAGTGTCTTGCTTCATTCCAAGGTAAGTGTAACAGTATACTGACGTTTGGGTTATCTGGTACTGTCTTTGGTTATTAGAGAAACTATTGGACAATATGCTGAGTTTGAGTACAAGGCTGAGTTGGACCCAAAATGTTCTACTTAATGTAAGTCTAAACACAATTCAGTTGACTAGCTCAATGTGTTTTCAGTGTGAGCAGGTATGTGTCAGCTGGTATGTGGCCTAAAATCTACCATTACTGAAGAGATTCTAGCTGGGAATGGGGTGTTATGAAATTTTTTTTCTAGGATGTTCCTTGTCAGTTTTTCTGTGTCACCTCATCTGTGACTATTACAGGGGCTCTTAGATTTTTGTGAGAATGATAGCTATATGCCTGCAGATGAGATAAGCAAAAAACATTCAAAATCAGATGTGTCTCCAATTTGAAAGCTAGGACAGAAATGGTCTTTGATTTTTTTTTTCCTACAGAACATAATCAAAACTTAGTCTAAAATTCTCTTTTTTTTTTTGAGACCCTCTTCTGAACGAATCCGTAAAGTAGAAGACATTGGCACAGGTGACAGAAATCTACTGTACTTTAGACCTGGGTGGACTGTCGCTGAGGCTTCCTTGAACCTGTTTTCTCTCTACCCAGAGTTTTCATTCCTACCTCCATGTTTAATGCAACATGTATTTAACACTGATTTAAACTGTGCTCTGTGACATCTGTTTAACTTACTAGCATCCTTGAGCTTTTGCACAGTGAACACAGTTAAGGAAGGATCCATAACTTCAGTGTCTATCAAGTCTCATTTCTTCTTCAGGACTTCTAAGTCTAGTCATAAAGGATTTAGATATGGGGACATTTTAGTACAATGGATAAGTACATTCCTATTTCCTAAAAATGGCTTTGACTATGATACTTTCATGGAAATTATTTAGCTATGCTGTTGTATATTTTGGGGAATATGCACATCTACTCTGTACCATATTTCTACCCTCAATTCTCTTATGTTCAAAACTTTTGCCTAACAGGTAACTACCCTCAGTGTTTGTGGGATTGTCTTAATGCAGCTTCTAATGAGGAGACTTGTAATGACCCCCTTTACCTATCATAACTAGTGACACAAAACTGTACAACTTTAAAAATTAAAATATACATGTGTTGGAACACATTTATTTGTTTATTTAAAAAAAAACCCTAGTAAATATAAAGCAAATTAACAAAAAAAATTTCTCTCCTAAAACTGGAGGTTGTTGTTCTGGGGAATTTCCAGCTATTTTGTGCTGGGGACAAAAGCAGCTATCACTTAGGTAAATGTGTCTTTTGTTGCTAAAAATTAGTTATGTGGCCATTTATCAGTTGTAAATCTTTAATCATGCTCTGTGGACACTTGATCAGATGCAGACAATAGCGCCTATTAAGAATTTCTGAAACCTGACAATTTTAGGACATTAGCTTTGAGTCTTATGAGTAATTTTAGGGGTAATATGTCCCAGCCAGTGGGATCTTCAGCAGAGACCCTAGAAGAGGGAATGGTGAATGAAAGGGACAAGAGACACAAAGAATTGACAGCAAGACAGTATTCTGATCAAGCTGCAAAATTTTATTTTTCTCAGGTGGGTTTTATAGTAAGCAGACCAGGAAACTTTCTTTGGGAAAAGATCAGGGGACTGTTGAGTTGCCAAGCAACCCAACCAAGTAACCTAACCACAAAACGTTGTTACTAATGGTCAGTGTAGCAGAAAGATAAGGAAATGTTAAGTTATTTTCTAATAACTCAGGACTTGTTCAGGCATGTAAAAAGTTTCTGGTTAATGGCTCAATACTGGACAACAGAAACTTAACTCAGGCAAGCAATATGGCATGGCTCTTAAAATTGTCCTCGGCAGTAATAGAAAGTTAACATTTTCCCCCTGAATTCTGTGTATCAACTGGTTTCCATGTTTGCCTAAGCAGTTGACTTGGTACTTTATGACTTACAGCTCAAAGACATCTGGCTCTTTTGTCTCTAACCCAACTCCTGCCCTATCCCCGAGAGTTTGATAGAGACACAACATCTACATTCATTTTCTTGTGTTCAGAAGATGTTTAGGCTACTATGTGATAAAGAGAAAGAGGAAATGAGCATGAATTTAGAAAGCTAGAGGGACAGAAGTCTTTACTGTCACCAAAAATTGAGTGTTTGGAATACCTAGGTAAAGGAGTGGTTTTGAATTTGTGCCATAAATGTTTACATTGATAAAAAACAGGGGAAGGCCCAATAACTCCATGACATACACCAAATCAAGAGTCCATATGATTTTCTTCACAATTATCGTAATTATGATTTCCTTTGGCTAGTAGGTATTTCCTCAGTATTTCTCATTATTTCCTTATATAAACAGATTAATTTTGCAGCTTCACCCCCAGTGTCTGTTTTATAATATAATATGCTTTAGGGAAAAATGTCTTTGGAATCTATAACATAAATAGGTACTGGGATTGTGTTTATCTTTTATGTAATTAAATTAATAAATTTCTTCATTTATCATTATGTATGTTCCATGCACATATGTGGAAGCCAGAGGATAACTTTGTGAAGTGAATTTCCTCTTTATGTGTGTTTTAGGGATAGAACTCAGGTTTTTGGGTTTGCAAGTACATTTTACTTAGGGATCCATCTGACCACAGCTCCAATATTGGCTAATTAAAAATTATTTTATTGCCGGGTGGTGGTGGCGCACGCCTTTAATCCCAGCACTCGGGAGGCAGAGCCAGGCGGATCTCTGTGAGTTCGAGGCCAGCCTGGACTACCAAGTGAGTTCCAGGAAAGGCGCAAAGCTACACAGAGAAACCCTGTCTCGAAAAACCAAAAAAAAAAAAAAAAAAAATTATTTTATTTCATTTTATGTGTATGAGCATTTGTCTAAATGTATGCATGTGTACCATGTGCATCCCTGTTGCCCACAGAATCCAGAAAAGGGCATCAGATTACCTGGAATTGAAGTTACAGACAATTGTGACCTACTCTGTGGGTACTGGGATTTGAACCTTAGTCCTCTGGAAGAGCAGCCAATGCTCTTACCTACTGAGCCATCTTTTTAGCCCAATATTGGCTAATTTTTAATAAGCTTTCCTTTTTCATCCTAGAAGAATTTAATGCCTATTAGAGAGGTCATTATTTTTTTTCCTGTTTGAGACAATGTCTCATGTAACCCAGGTTAGCCCTGAGCACTGTAGTCAAGGATGGCCTTGAACTCCCAATCCTCCTGCCTCCACCTCCTAAGTGCAGAGGTTGCTAGAGTGCACCACCATGCCCAGTTTGAGATGGATATTCTTAAATGAGTCAAAGAGTTACTTACAAAGTCGATAGTCTTGGAACTTAGTTTACCAAAATGAGTATTATTTTCACATATGAAGGAACCCTCATTATTCCAACTTGAGATATTTCGGTCATATCAAATTTGTTACCTAAACATGCTCCAGAAAATAATGATCAACAATTTTTTCCAAGCATCTTTTATATATCTTTTATAACAAACAGCATGTTATACATTCTCTTATAAATGTGCTGCTTGAATTATTAAAATATTATAGCCAAGTGTGGTGGTGCACACCTTGAATCCTAGTACTTGGAAGGCAGAGACAGGTGGATCTCTGTGAGTTAGAAGCCGGCCTGATGTACAAAGTCCACGTTCCAGGACTATCAGGGCTGTTATACAGAGAAACCCTGTCTCAAAAAACCAAAAAAAAAAAAAAAATTATAATAGCTTCTGGGAATTGAATAAATGCTTCTCCCATGATTTTGCCTGGTCGGATCTCAGTGCTTCTGGTCTCTGTGTTACACCATAGCTTCTCATTAGTACCAGTACTGCTGTGAGACTGTATATTTTCCTTCTTTTCAGGAACACTTTACCCTTGTTGGATCAGAAACGTCCTCTTTTAGTTCAGTATGGGGATTCAACTGAAGACTTTGAAAGATACTATAAGTGTAGACGCTTCAAATTTGATGGCCTCATGAGGATTCCACAGCTTCTTTGGAATACAACTAACAATGTCCATGACCACCATCCTTTACCCTTTTCAGTGGGATATTTTTTTAAGCAAGAAATTTGTCATGCTGTTCACATATAAGAATAGTTTCAGTGGGGTCAAGGGCTCTCCTGGATTTTAAATTTGTTACAGAGATACTTTTAAATAAAGTTTAGTGGTTCTTTTTTTAAAATAAAAAATTGTATTTATTTGGAAGCATTCAGAATGTCAACAAAACAGCTGCAATTCTTTTTCAATTACAGAGTGGTATTCATTTAACAGAACAATTATCTTCATATAAGATGCATCAGAGACAACTGAAGATGAAAAAAAACCCAACCCAACCCAACCAAAACAAAAACTACTGTCCCCATATATAACTAATTTGTGCTGTGCACCAACAAGGACCTGCTTTAAATTTTCATGCCGATTTACAACCCCCAGACTGTACCAGGCAAGGTTAGTGGCTATTGAAAACACCACCAGACAGGGCTCTCTGAAGACACATTCGATAGTGTGTTAACTATACAAAAAGAGACACTGTACTGTTTAAAAACAAATCTTACACAGCATTACATTTCAATTTTTTTCTTTAAAAGAAGTGAGTTATGTGTGTACAGGGGGGTTAAATACTTTATAGAAAAAGTGCGATAGAACTGCGTCTTCCTCCTCTTCCTCATCCTCTTCATCATTTCCTCCTCCTTCTTTTCCTTGCTCTTTTAAGCCTTGACCACCCCCCTTTGCACCACATCGGCTTTTCCTTTAGCTCTGTAGGCAGCAACATCCTTTTCGTGTTTTTCCTTCAGCTTGTCATGTGCAGCAATGTTGTTCCACATCTCTCTCAGTTTCTTTGCAGCATCACCAATGGATAAGCCAGGGTGTTCTCCCTTGATTTTTTGGCGATACTCAGAACAGAGCAAGAAGGCTGCCTGAAGGAGGCCTCTTGGGTGCATTGGGGTCCTTGAACTTCTTTTTGGTCTCCCCTATGGGGGGGATGTAGGTTTTCATTTCTCTTTCATAACGAGCCTTGCCAGCCTTTGCCATGTCTTCAAATTTCCCCTTTTCTTTAGCAGACATGGTCTTCCACCTTTCTGAGTACTTCTTTGAGAACTCTGAGAAGTTGACAGAAGCATCGGAACTGCTTCTTGTGCTCCTCCGGGCAAGTTTGCTCAAAGAATGCATGTGAGGACATTTTGCCTCTCGGCTCCTTAGGATCTCCTTGGCCCATGTTTAGTTGATTTTTCTCCGCGAGGCACAGAGTCGCCCAGTGCCCGTCCAGCTCTCGCTTCCCCCGGCGCTGTCTCTGTGGAGCTCAATGTACTGCAGTGCCTGTCAAGATTAGTGGTTCTTAATATTTCCATTTTATTTGGGAGAAACCTTAACACCTGAGTTACAGGGTGTAAAGTGCAAAACAAAATTGCATTTTGCTTACTTAAGGGGCTATGAATTTCCATTTATTTTAGCTTAATCTGCACTGATTTTCAATTGAATAGTTAGTACAGTGCAATCTATTTTTTAATCTTTCATTTTCATTTCATTTTTCCCATTTTCAAATTTCCCATTTTCTTTTAAGATAGGACAATGCATTAAGTCATATTTCATGTATATTATTTATGAAATGAAAATGTTTTCTTGGAAATCCAATAAATGTTTATTATTATAATATTTGGCAAATATTTTCTTTAAGGAGCCAGCTAGCAAATGTTTTTATATTTGAAGAACAAATGTAGGGTCTGTCACAATTAACACACTCACCATTGTGTCAATAAAGAAACTGGAATTGACAAATGTGTGTTGGTATGTTCCAGTAAGCAGGACATGAGATGAATTTTACTGCCAATGCAAAATAAAGAAAATGAGGCAAGGGTCCCAAGTAGAATAATCAGAAAATTCTCAAGCATAAGAGGTTAAATTTAAGTATATCTATCTATCTATCTATCTATCTATCTATCTATCTATCTATCTATCTATCGTATTACTGTTCTAATAACTTCCATGTTGATTTTTAACCCACAGTTAAAATAAATTAAGGCTTAATTTTTGTGTATGTGTGTGTATATGCACGTGCATGCAGGTACCTGCAGCGGTCAGAGAAGGGCATATAGTCCTCTGACGCTGGAATTACAGGCAGGATGAGGGCGCCAAGAACTGAACTCTAGTCCTCTGTAAAAGCAGTAAGTTCTCTTAGACTTCTCTTCAGTTACCATTGCCTACAATTTTTAATAAAAGTATTTTCCAGAAAAAAATCAGAATTTTCGTTAAAATATTTTGATTCTGGTTAACACATGGGATTCAGTGTGACTTCAGTAACCCACATATATAGTATGCACTAATTATGTCTAGCCTCTTTCTATCCTCTTTCTCTCCTACTCCCAACCTCCAATAATCAATATTTTGCATTCAGGTTGGTATTTTTTTACTTATGCATATGAAAGAGAAGATGTGACTGTGTGGCTTATTTCACTTAATCCCCTCAAGTTCCATTTTCCTGTAAAACATAGAATTTAATTCTTTGTAAATGAATGTCATGTTTGATTTACCCATTCTTCTATTGATACACAGCTGGGTTTTACATCCTACATCCTAGGTATTGTGAAGAGTGCTTCAGTAAGCATGGGTCTGAAGGCAGGCTGCTTTTATTTCCTGTCTACATACATTGCAGCATGTGACAGCAACATAGATGGTGTTTTCATTTTTAGGAACCTCCATACTGTTCTCCATGATGGCTATATTAATTTCAATCCCCAGTTGCATGGGTGTTTCTGCTCCTCATATTCTGGCCATCACTTAATATTTTTATTGTTCTGGTAATAGCCGTTTACATTGTAGTAAGATAATATAGCTCATGGTTTTGATTCATTTTCTCTGATGACTAATGGATGATCATATTTTCATAATTGTTGATGTTTGTATTTCTTCTTTTGAGACATTTAGGTCATTTGCCCGTTCTTTCATTACATTAACTTTTAAGTTTTTTAATTCCTTACACAATATTATGTACAAATTCTATGTAAAATGCACAGTAGAAAACACTTCCCACACTCTGCACGGTCTCTTCAGTCTCTTGGGTGTTGTCTCAGCTTTTGGAGCTTTTTAGTTTGAAGTAATATCATTTGTTTATTTTTTAGTTTCCCATTCTTTTGAGGGTTATATAAAACGTTGCCTATTTCAATAGGGGAAGTGTCTCTCCTGCAGAATTTTCTTTCTAACTAGTAGACTAATTTTTTATTTGTATTTTTCTGTATCTTGTTTTGTTCGATCCTTCTTTTCCTTTATTTTTCTGTCTTTTCTTAAAATTGTACTAATTTCAAGTCAGTTTGATAATTTAGTTTATCAGTCTTAACTCACAAAAGGTCATCTGGACGGGGAATGAACTACAGTTGTTTTCAATGTAGTTAATGACATTTGCAGACCCAAAGTGTATCTTCCTTGTTCATGTGTCTTTATTTTAGAAGTAGTGGATTAACTGGCAGCATTGGAAAAAATCTTGTTAAGTACATATTCTTGGGTTGGCCACATGGCTCACTGGGTAAAGGAGCTTGTTATTGAGTTAGCCAACCTGAGTTCTATACCCAGGACCCACACAGTGAAAGGACAGAATTAACTCACACAACTAAGTTGTCTGCTAACCTTCACATGCATGATGTGGCACATGCACACACACACACACACACACACACACACACACACACACACACACAAATAAAATATACTTTAAAATCCATGTGAATTTAGGGAGTTTTTTGAATCTCTTCACTCCTGATCTCTGTACTAAAGATTAGTAAACAGAAGATGCAAGGGCTGGGTGGAAAATCATGATAATACATTCATTATTCCTAGTCGCACAATTGAAATCAAGAGATTAGTATCCTGAAGGCAGTGGGACCAGGGCTTATCCTTGGTGCATGAACTTGCTTTTTGGAGCCCATTCCCTATGGTGGGATACCTTGCTCAGTCCTGATGGTGGGTGGGGGTGGGCGGGGCTTGGTCCTGCCTCAACTTGGTATGCCAGACTTTGCAGACACCCCAGTAGGAGGCCTTACCCCACTCTGAGGAGTGGATGGGGGAGGGGGTGGGGAGGAGGGGGTGAGAAGGGGAGAGAGGAGGAACTGTGGTCAGTATGTAAAATGAAAAAAAATTTTTTAAATAAACTTTCTTTGAATCTGGACTCTTCAATAATTTAGACATAATGTAAAAGTTCAATAATTGAAGAAACCTGTGGCCTGTGAGATTTCAATACCAGATAAAGATCATGAAGTGTGTAGAGTGATTAAGAATAGTTTAGACTGGGCGGTGGTGGTGCACATGCTTTGATCCCAGCACTTGGGAGGCAGAGGCAGGTGGATCTCAGTGCTAGCCTGGTCTACAAAGTGAGTTCCAGGACAGCCAGGAATGTTACACAGAGAAACTCAGTCTTGGAAAAACCAAAACCAAAACCAAAAACCAACCCCCCCCAAACAAACAAAGGAATACAGTTCAGCTGTGGCAGTGGCACACCCCTTTAATCCCAGCAGAGGCAGAGGCAGGTGGATCTCTGTGAATTGGAGGCCAGTCTGGTCTACAGAGTGAGCTCCAGGACAGATTCCAAAGCTACACAGTGAAACCCTGTCTTTTTTTTTTTTTTTTAAGAAATTTTTTCATTTTACACACCAATCAAAGATCTCCTCTTCCCACCCCCCAGCCTCCTCCTCCTAACTCCCCTTCATCCCCCCACAAGAAGGCAAGGCCTCTCATGGGGAGGCACATCCAGTAGAGGCAAGTCCAAGCCCTTCCCCCCTGCCTCAAGGCTGCATGAGGTGTCCCATCATAGGTAGTGGGCTCCAAAAAGCCTGTGTGTACCAGGGATGGATTCTGATCCTACCACCAGGGGGCCCCCCAAGCAGATCAAACTACACAACTGTCTCGCCATGCAGAGGGCCTAGTCCAGTCCCATGCAGGCCCCATAGCCATTGATCCAACTTTCATGAGTTCCCACTAGTTTGGTTTGGTCGTCTCTGCAGGTTTCCCCATCATGATCCTGATGCACGTGCTCATAGAATCCCTCTTCTCTCTCTTTGACTGGATTCCTGGACCCTCTCGCTTCCCATGCAAGAGTTTTGTTAAGCTTAGTGGCTAGCTGTCAGTGCCGTTAATATGTATTCGTAAGTGGAAACCCTGTCTTGAAAAAATAAAAAGAATACAGTTTAATAGTACTGAAAGCTAGCCACTAAGCTTAACAAAATTCTTGCATGGGAAGTGAGAGGGGCATCATCACATGGAGCATATCATGTCAATACATCTCAAGTGTTAGTTGGTACTGATAAATACATTAACCAACAAAAAATTAGAATCATTGAAAAAAAAACTCCTATAGCCACAAATTATTTTTCAAAACTTCCATTTATGAACTTTCAGGGCCAGCTTGCTTTATTTTATTCTACCACACATTTAAGAACAAAATAAATTGAATAAAAAAACAAAAGCTTCAAGAGAATTGAAGGGGGAAAATTTTAATCTCATTTTATAAAGTTAAATTTCTAAAAGTCTCTCTGTGTACGTGCTGTATGTATGTGTATGTATTCATGTGGGAGTGTGGAGGTCAGAGTCTCCTTATTTTTAAATATATTTTAAAACGTATTATTAGTGTATGTGTGTGCACACACATCAGCCATGTTTGCTAAGGAGTGTGTATGGAGGTCAGTGGACACCTATGTGGAGTCAGATCTCTCTACCTTGATGTGGGTACCA